TTCAATTCGGATTACTAGATCATGAGATATCACGTGTGCGCCATAATTGCCCTTGTATCAAAATTTATTAATTTTTTTAGCCTTTATTCTAATTTGGAATATCTCGTGACTTAGTAATCAGAATTGAACGATTTTGGTACCATTCGATTTGTCTTAATAAGACGAATCGAATGGTACCAAAAATTGTTCAATTCTGATCACTACATCACGTGATATTTGCCGTAAAACTTACCTGCGCCATAATACTCCCTTCTACTTTATAGCTTATCATTGAAATTAACTGAAAATATACTTTTATCTTCTTCGCTTTCTTCACATTCATCATTTCCTTCACCTTCACCTTTATCATTTTCTTCACCTTTGCCTTCATTATTTTCTTCACCTTTATTATTTTCTTTACCTTCACCTTTATTATTTTCTTTATCTTTTTTATTTAACAACTTATTCACATCATTTATACAGTTTTCAACTATAGCCTGAAAACAGCTTGATATTTTATTGTTTTCACTACTATCAGGATTGAGCACAAGTCCAGTCGCTTCAAATGATTTGGCTAAAAGATCTTTACTAATTTTCTTCTAAGTTTCAGATACTTATTTGCAAATAAGTACATATAGAGACCCTCATAGCAAAAGGAGGCAGTGGGACAAAAATTTTAATTTTGTAATTTTATAAATATTGGTTTTCTATCAATCTAATTTTTCAAGAAATCAATTAAAAAAAAAAAAATTTTTTTGGCCCACTGTTTCCTTTTGCTATAAGGGGTTCCATATAAGGCTTTTCTACATACTTCTTTTTTGGTAAATTCTTTTTCACCTTAATCAATCTATTCATTTCACCTTTTTCTTATTCCACTTTTAAAAGGTTTATTTACTGAAACTTTTGGTAATTGCAAAACACAAGTTATTTCTTCAAGTATTTTTAAAACATCTAAGCCCTTTATATTTAATATCTTAACTACATCATTATGAATATAGCTACAATGACTATCAACAAAAATTAAACCTTTGCTTTTAAAAAATTCTTCTTGCCTTGCACATATGACTTGTGAGATATAAGTAGAGATTATTAAGTTTGTTTGCATATTTGTACAGAATGCTGTTGCTAAAACAATATTTTATAGAAATTTACCTTTGGGTTTTTTTTTTAGCTTAAAAATTACTGCTGACAGGAGCTTATTTCTAGAAGCTATATAATCTAGAACTACTATAAAATATAACTTGTCATTCTCTGTACTTTTAATTGCCACCTTATAAACACCTTGAAAATTAAAAGTTAAACTCTGGGGCATATTGAACCAAACCGGTGTCTTATCAAAAGAAATGATAAATTTTTTTTTTATATTTTTTGTTTTTTCATATACAACTTGAAAAAAGTTACTAACAATTAAGGACATATCCTCAGGGAACTTTTGTGCAACTTGAGTTTAAACATGTGTTACTAAATCATACTGCTTTCTAAACTATTCAATCCAGCTACAGGTAAACTTTGTTTCAATACCTAAAGTTTTCTCAACTCTTTTGCATTTTTTTCGATCATACAAATTGTAACAACAACTTTTTCATCCTGTTTTGTTTGATGTAATTCAATAGATTCTTTTTCAAATCAGGGTATTTTGCCTTTCGACCATGACCTTTAAGAACACGTACTTTATTTATACTTAATTTTACATTGCTTTTAATAGCTTCTAAGTCTAACTTTTGTTTTTGCCACTCTTAAACTCTTTTTCAGTTAACATTATAAAATAATAATACTTTATGATTAGATGTAGACTCTGCATATAATACTACTTCAAGTTTGAATAAAACAGTATAGCTTTGTTTTTTGTTTGTGTTCATTTGTAAAACAAGTAAAAAATTGAAATAAAAATTTAAAATTAACATTTGATATATATACTTAAATAGAATTCATGATATATTACAAAAAATATATAGTAGTTTTTAATTTATACCTGGGTGATTATTATGCATTATGAAATTACAGTTTTTTAACTTGAACTATGATCAATAATATTCTTTACAAGATAAATATAACAAGATCAGGAACTATTAATTCAACAATACATATAATACAAGTTTAGCATATAAAAAACATAATGGTAATTTAAAGAAAAACTAATTATAAAAAATAAGTCTAGACCTAATTGCTAAGCTATTAGAGTATAACCCTAATGCTGATGTTTTGCTCAAAGCAATTGGGCACATCTTTGTATAGCTTGTATTCATAGTAAGTATTCACAACAATGAATTCAAAGAAAAAAAAAATTACTATAAAGGTAAATTTAAAAAAATAATAGAAAAAAAAAAGTCTAGACCCAATTGCTGAGCTATTAGAGTATAACCCTAAAGCTGATATCCTGCTCAAGGCAATTGGATACATCTTTAAATATGAACAAATAGTTTAAAAAATGACTAAAAGAATGATAATATTTGTGGCAGATTAAAATGAAATCGGATTAAAATGAAATTTTTCTATTTTTTTTAGAAAAATTTAAAATTTTTTGGAGTATATTTTTTAGGGTTAGGGTTAGTGTTAGAGTTAGTGTTTAGAGTGAGTTTTATTGATAAAAGAGTATAAGTGGGTTTTATAAGCTTTAAAGATGAGCAAGAAAGGTCCTCAGTTTTATTTTAATCCGATTTCATTATGATCTGCCACAATATTTAATGCACTTATGCTTTTAAAGATATTTTTAATTAAAAAAATCATTTAAAAAAAAAAAAAATTGAAAAACAAGCAATTATATATATATACAAGAATTTTTTGTCGCTAACTAATAATGATACAATTTATAGCCTATTCATATGAATTGTGTTACATCAGAATTAACAATTCAAAAAATATTCATTATGAAGAGTTTCAAAACATTTCTGTTTTATATAAACTTACTGCATAATAAATAAATAAACCGTTTGCACTATATTAAAAATTTTTCATATAATTTTACTGGTAAAATTTGAAAATCTTGACATGTTTGAATGGCATTCAAATTATGCCATTCAAACATGTCAAAATTTTTAATTCTTACTAGTGTTTTGGCTAACAAGTATTTAAAATTTTAATTTATACTAATATACTATATAAACTAATATTTTTAATATGTAATAATGATAACAATAAGTTAATACCTCTATTTATTTTATACAGATACATCTGATTTAGTTAATAATTGTATAATAATTTCTTGTATAAATCTTATATTTATTTTGATGCCTAGTTATCATTAATATAAATTTGATTTTAATTATCTATGTATGTTATTTTGAAAATACTTTTTGCAAAAAATCAACTTTCTGTTTCGAAATATCATACATGGGTATTTCAAAATAATATGTAGATAAATAAATTAATATATAAGGGTGCATTATTTCACTAGTATATAGTATATACCAAAATGAGACAAAAGCACTAGCACCTAAAGCCAAGCCAAGATCAAATCTTCTGGGTTATTAGTTGAAAGTAAAAAATAGATCAATAAAAAAATAACAGAAAAAAAAAAGTCTAAATATGAGTATATACTAGAATTAGGAGTAAATCTTATAAGAGCAAAAATGATTAAATAGGAATAATCCTAACTGCAAGTAAGAGCCTTGGCAACTATCCAAAACCAGGTTGGCCTAAATAGAATAGGGAAAGCTCTAGTAGGTTTATTTCAAAAATAGCTATGTGTCTGCTCAACAGAAAAATACAAGCTAGTAATTAGTTGGTACAAACTTAGGAGAAGTTCTAAAGCAAAGATGTGCAATCTAGTGGAACAGGCTGTTAGTAGTTTCCAGATTAGTATAATATATTTGAAAATAGTTAGAATTAGAAGGTTTAAATAGGTAACTCCCTAGTTGAGTTATAAATATGATATTTAGTATAGAATTTGCAGACAAACTACTTAAATAGACACTTAAAAAGTGCATATATGACTAGTTGTATCTTCATTATAACTATATATTCTTTAAATTGTTTTATAGCCAAATTTGCCTACAACTTTTTTTAAATTTTAAATTTTTTTAAATATTAATTTTAGCTATATATTTTCTAAATAAAATATTTAATTTTAAACTTGTTTTATTAACTTTGTTAAAAATTTTTTTTAAAATTATTAGAAAACTTTAGTATAATAAAAGTTTGAAGTTCTTGTATTAAAATTTTTACTATAAAATTTT